CTCTTATAGCTAGAACCTACCAGCAAATTTGTTCCTCCCAAAACTTTATCTGTGCCAGTCTCATGCATTCTCCCTTTTCCTTTGGGTCAGGCCACATCCTTTCCCCTTCCCATCCCAAACTCCAGTTCCACCAGCCCAGAGACTCCCTTAAGCAAGGATAATAATGCATCCCTGAGACTAGGAAGACCTGTTCTCCCAGAACACAGAGTTGGGTTTATATTCTCTTTTTTCCCAGGGGGGAGCCTAGAGTAAAAAGAAGGGTTCCTCTTATCCTGAGCCAATTATTTGTATAATTCTATATTTAATGGCTTAACTCTCTCAAATCTATAAATTTCATTAAGGATTAGGATTATGTTAAAGTTAGTTATGAATTTAGGTTCCTTCTGTCTCATTCACTTTTGCTTTCCTTATGCCAGCTCAAGGCCTGGTAAATAATGGTCACCAAAACATATTTGCAGGAGGAAGAAAGGGAGAGAGCAGGCAAGGGAAGGTAAAAAGAAGGAAAGGGCAGAGGATACCACTGACTGCATAGGCCCCTAGAAAAAACACAAGTCTGATTTAAGGTAGTCTCAGAGGAGGTAGAAAGGGGTGGAAATGAAGCTGAAAACTATCAAGAAGAAATAATTTACAGGGCTTGATAAACTTTTTAAGAAAAACAGCAGTCAGGGATGATTCTGAGAATCACCTGAATGTGATGTGTGACTGTTAGAGGAAAACTGGATTTGGTTTTGTTGGTAAAGGGTGGTAATTGGTAGAGGGCTTGTGAATAGTAAGTCTGGTAAGATAGCTTGTAATTGGAATCTGTAAGATATCAGAGGAGGATGTCCAACAGGCAGATAAACCTATGGGTCACTGTTTTAAATACATGTGAACAGGAAAAACAAAATGAAACTGGGAAGGGTGTGAAGTTATCTTTAGAAATGCCTTCTCTTTCAGGACCCATTTCAGGTCCCCAGCTCCCTAATTATTTGCATACCTTCCTTCATCGTCTTAACAAGTGATCTTATCTTATCATGTAGTCTGTTTAAAGGGCAAACTATTGACCAAATGCAAGACGTTAGTTCTCTCCTGTTGTATTTGTATGCTAATATGGGAGCACAAGTCTCACAGTGAAGGAGTGATACTAGCCCACCACTATAGCTACTATTGATATGCCTCTAAATATGTGCCAGGCATTCTCCTGAGTGTTTAATCCTCTCAGCAACACCACGGGTAGGAACTATTTTATAGATGAGGAAACTTAGACGCTGAGAGGCTAAGTGACTTGTCCAAGGTCACACAATCAGTAAGTAATGGAACAAGAAATATAACCTAACTTTGCTACTCTAGAGTCCAGTCTCAGATCCACTCACTACCTTGTGAATGAAGGTGGAGTAAGGATTTAAAGAAAGTGGGAATGTGCAGTAAATTTTATGGGGAGATCCTTAGCAAGATTCAGTTCCATTGTGCAAAACCCTGCAATCTCAACCTACTCATGATGACTATGATGACATGGGCCCTACCAAGAATTAACTTTAGACCATTTACTTAATCATCTCTCAGTTTCATTTCCCTCAAACATAAAATAACAAGGTTATTCCATATAGATAATAATGTTTGTAAAACAAACGACTAGAAATAACCTAAATATCTTCTTTATTAACTTTTTTATTTTTTACATCATCGTTCATTTTTAAACAATATTTGCTTCCTCCCACCCCCTCAGGTGTAGTCCCCATAGTTTCCTTCACCAATGCACCCGGGCACCATCACCTCAGTCCCCTGTGCTCCTCCTTCCCTCCCTCTGATCCCTTTCCCACCTCCTCCCCTGCAGTAAGTCTCTGATTTATAATTGTCTGAATAACTAAATATCTATTGATATGATACTGGCTGAAAAATGATTGTACACCTATAAAATAGAATATAGTGCAACCACAAAAAGAAATAAGGAAGCTCTCCATACATTGCTATCAAGTGATGTCTAGGATATAAGTTATGCCTGTACATGCACACATACAGAAAACCTATAAAAATGGTTGCTTCAGCAGAACTGGGTGGGTGGGAAAAAGAGAATTGAAGGAGACCACCAGTTAGGATCCCAGCAGAAAATGGAACGCTCAGAAGAAAAGCACTAAGGGAGTTTAATGAAAGAATTATGTGCAAAGATGTGGACAGGACTAAGACACCACACAAAGGATGGCGATGTGCCTACCCCTGGCTAGCTACAGAGGGGGAGCCATTACCATGTGCCTGGAATTTGAGGGATAAGGGAAGTAAATACTTTCCTGAACTCAAAAAGAGAAAGCTGTGTGTATAGAAGGAGCCCCTGAGCAGAAGCCATAGCTTTCTCTAGATGAACCCACAAGGGAAATATATGAGGAAATAGATATACCTGACCCCATTCTCCTCTGTCTTCCATCTCTTGCTAGTGCTACCATCCCATGGGCAAACCCTACCAGAAACCCAAGGACAGAAGAACTGTCAATGCAGTCTTAGACTCGAGCCTCCAGGGGTCCCAAAGCAGGGTGGACAGTCGATCTGGAGAGCAGACAAAATATCTACTGCAGAGACAGTACAGCCTTTTTACAGTATGAATTTAGAACATTATGAATAAGTAAGAATATATAGTTTTAAATTAGTTCTTTTTACACAAATTTACATATACAAAAGAATTAAAAAAAAGTAAAATTAGTTATTAGAATAGATGGTTTCTAAGTCTCTCCCTGCCTTCAAATTCTATTTCTTTGAAGCATGAATTTTTCACCTTATGAGAAGCCATGGCTCCATCTAGTGTCAAACAGAAGCCTCACTGTGTTCTGAGTCTTATTCTAGATTTCTGGTTCAGTCATGCATTCTGCATGTGTGTAAGCAGTTCTCACTGTGAATTATACCCACTTGGTGGATGATCTTATCCCCTTAAAGTGGAGAATAATTGTTTTGAGAAATAGACTTTTGGGGTCTTTTTGAGGTAACATTTGTTTACAACATTGCTTTTTTTCTTTTAAAATGATAGTGGTAAGCCCTTCAATTCAATTGCAAACTAAGTAGTTATGATCTTCTCCCCCCATATTTCAAACTGTTAAATATAAGACTGCAAATCTTCCAAAGCACACTTTAGAGCTCATCATTCCCCTGTTCGCATGTCCTTACTATGTGATTCTTAACTGTGGCTACAAAATAGCACCTCCCCGGAAGTATTAGGAAGTTCCTGTGGGGATTCAAACTTGGTCTGAGGGAGGAACTCATGTTGTGTTTTGCTTTTTTTTTTTTTTTTTAAAAGATTTATTTATTTATGCATACAGAACTTGCTGTGGACCAGAGGTGCTGGGGAGAGGGGAGGATGAGAGGATTCACCAGAGAGAGTGCTTTGTTTTTTAAGCTCCCCAGTAGTTGTAATGGGCAGCCAGAGCTCTTGAGTCCCTGCTTTATTGATTCCTTGTTGCCTGGGAGTTTAATTCCCTCACTATCAGAAGGGGCTCCCTCAGCTTTAGACAAACAAGGAGGCTGCTCCTGCTTCTGGTTCCAGCTCTCTCAGCCACTGTAATTCACTGAGCTCCACATACAGCCCAGGACAAGTGAGAGTAGAATAGGCAGCAGGTGACTGACTCTGTGTCTCACTGCAGAAAAATATGTAAACATAGACATAGGAGATCCTAAGAAGCCAAGAGGCAACATATCAGCATGTGCATTTTTGTGTAAACTGGCCAGGAGAAGCACAGGAAGAAGTATCCAGATGCTGCTGTCAACTTCTCAACTTTTCTAAGAAGTGCTCAGAGATGGAAGACCATCTGTGAAAGAGGAAGTTTGAAGACATAGCAAAGATGAAGACATGCATAAAATTGTTCTTGTGAGATTGTAAAAGTCAACATCAGCACACCACTGCATAGAACCCTAAAGTATTTGTTTCCAGACTACATAAAGAACCTCTTTTGTTTATCACTAATTAAATTTCAATCAATGCCATATTAAAATGAATAAAAGCTAAAAATAGACATTTTGCAGAAGAGGAAATATGGAGAATAGAAGTACAAAAATATTCTTTGCCTATATTAGTAATCATATAAATGTTAATTACATCTTCAATAAGAAACCATATTATACCCTTCACATGGGCAAAAATTAAAATGTATTAGCATACTGAGTAATTGTAAAGATTTGGCCCGATAGTAACTCTTAACAATGTTGGTTTGGGTATAAAGTGGCACAACTACTCTGGAGTAGAATTTGGCACTACCTTGTAAAGTTGAACATTCAAATAGTCTACATTCTAATTCTTAGGAACATATTTTAGAAGAATTTTTGCATAAGTGTGCTAGAAAACACAAATATAAATGTTGGTAGTGGCACTTTCAGTAATAGCAAAAAAAAGTTTCATTCAAATATATCAGTCAGGGTTTGTTCAAGGGAGAAGAACCACTGAAAAATAAACACTATACAGGACTGATTATAGGGATCTGAGTGTATGAAATCATGCGAGATGGTTAGACTGTCTATGAATAGACTGTCTATTGTGTCAGTATCTGGGGCTGGAGCTAAAACTCTCAGGACAGGTAGTTAGGATGTGAAGTGGGGGAAGCAAGAACAAACAAACCCAACAAGGATGGACTGCAAGCAGCATTTGTCTCTCAACACTTTCTAACCTCTAGTGTCATTCAACCTGAAATTAAACACACATGACCCAAGAGTTGGAGAGGCTGAAAGAGCGTATCTGGAAAGAGTTGAGAAGACCTACTCAGTTTAGGGGGAAATGGCACAAAATGTTTCCTGTGATCCATGTAATCTATTTTCACATGAGTAGTCTAAGAGCCCCTGAGAAGTGATTTGTAACCCAAAAGCCTATTTAAAAAACAAAAACAAAAACAAAATCTTTATGCATCTGAAAGTTTTCTCAAGAGAGATCATGTCAGTATATTGGATCTGAGTACATAATATGCCTCCTCTCCAAGGGACTTTAATCCTGTTGTCTTTGATGTTATCCCATAAACTAGTTTAAGTTGTTTTGCAAAAATAGTTCTACTTACACTATTATTCTTCAAAGGAAGTTCTTCATCCCACTGCAAACAGCTGTCATCTTAGGACTGATTGCCTGCTGAAACATTAAAATATAAATTTATCTTAAATTGTGCATTGCATCCAAATGGTCACTTTATTTAAATGAGAGGACTGGCTTTTAGCTAAGGCTAACTTCTCAATCCTCTATCCAAATCTGGTACCAAATTATATATGGTTACTCTGTAATAATTAATCGAGAGGAGAAAGAAAACTCTCTGGCAAAAGAGAGTAAGTATAATCCTTCATTTCTTTATTTTTAACTACTCAGTCAAGATGAAGTTTTAAATTTATTACCACAACATATTAGAATTAAAATTATTTTAGAGAGACAAGTTTTTATGAATGCATTTATTTTAGCAGCACTGATCAGGAGTTTGGCTAATCTCAAGAACTTTACAGCAATATATAACTTGAGGTGATCTTTTCTCCTCCTTTCTCTAAAACATTGGGCCACAAGTAATTAATGTTGAATGCAATTTTATATTAGCTATTTTACTGTGGTGTTTGGATTCTGACTAGAAAATACTTTAATTTAAATCATTTTCATGAGTGAAAAATCTAGTTTCTTATGTAACAAATTGGAAGGTTGTAATATAAACTGGCAAATACTCTGTAAAGCTGTTTGTCTTAGGGCCTCCCCGGTGGCGCAGCGGTTGAGCACTAGCTTGCGAAGCTGCCCACAGCCTCTGCAGCGCCGGTTCGATCCCCGGCTGCTCCCGGGCCACCGGAAGAGGGTCCCACATGGCGCGCAGACCTCTCCTGCCGCCCGCTGCTCCCCTCAGCAGTGTACTTCGGTCCTTCTGCCTGCTCTGCTCCCCACTCTGGCTCTGGTGAATTCTCTCACCCTCCCGCGCTTCTGACTGTACCCAGTGCTTGTATAAATAAATAAATAAATCTTTAAAAAAAAAAAAAATCTGAAGTTCCACTACTGACTCTAAAATATAGTTTAATTTTCAAAAATATGATTCATAGTCAACATTTTCAGGAATGTATTTTTTACAAAGTGAGATGTCTCCATACTTTTTAATTTCTATTTGTCACTCTTTTCTTTTTTACTAATTTATTTTGACTCTATTTCTTTTCTCCTTTTTTTTTTAAAAGATTTATATATTTATGCATACAAGAATGGAGGTACAGGCCAGAGGTGCGAGAGGTGAGAGGATTCACCAGAGACAGGAGAACAGAACAGACGGATTGACTGGAACACACTGCTGAGGGGAGCAGCAGGTGAGTCAGGAGAGGTCTTCTGCGCCATGTGTCAGCTCCCTTGCAGGGGATCAAGCTTCACCGGTTGCATCTTAACCCCCTGCGCCACCAGGGAGGCCCAATTTTTGACTCTATTTCTAAGGTGGCTACAAAAAAATGCTGCCACAATCATATATTTATAAATATTGTACTCATTGGGTTTTATTCTGATGTGGTTATTATTCAGTGACCTAAAAAGACAGGCAAATTTCCACCTGGAAGATAGTCATCACTGATATCACCAATCAACCGAGCACAGGGCAGTCCCACTCACGAAAATAACTGGCTGCTTGATGTTCTCTTGCTTTGTTCTTTGGGGTCTGGATTGGAAGAATGAAAGTGTCTAGCTATGTGCACCTGGGCTCTAGGTACCTGCCACAGATTGGGCTCTGAGGGAAGCAGACTGTGACACAGAGACTAGGGTACAGAAAGTTTATTCAGAAGTGCCCTTAGGGTCAAACCAGTCTGCTGTCCTTGCTTAAGCCAACATTAAAATAGGGTTAAAAGATGCAACAGTGCCCTCTACTCTAGGCTAACAGAAGATGAGTCTAGGAGGATGTAAGCTCCAGCTATTTCTCTTCATAGGGAGAGTCTCCTTCCAGAAACAACTTTGGAGGATATGTGAATGTTTTAATCAAGGAAGCAACATTAAAGAAAAAATATTAGTGGCAGAAGATTTTTAAAAATTTGAAATTCCAGTTATAATCTTCATCACTGGTGATTGATTTAGAAAAACAACATTGTACTGAAATGTTTTAGATGCTATCTTAAGAACTGAAAAATTAGTATTTTTTGAAAAATAGAAATTTTCATTTCAACTTTTTCTTTTGTTTCTTTTTATATGGCTTTATAGGACTCTCCAAGCCCTCTGCATCCATTTCCAAAATCTGTTCTTGTTAGTTATGTAGACATATTTAGCAACAAGGAAAAATCTAGGTAGAAAAATATAAATCCACCCAACTTTAAATCCTGCATGGCTGAGCTTTAATGAAAGTTTTGAGTTTCCCCAAAAGTCTGGTCTTCACTAACTGGGGAGGGAAAAGTTGGAAAAAAATGTACTGGGCATGTGAACCATGTAATTTCTTTTGAACGGAGAATTCCAAAAATACTTGCTTGTTGAAAGGGCAGTTATGTTTTTGTGTTGGAACTTGTTATGGAGAAGGATAAGTACTAGTTCTTTCCTTCCTTTTTCTCATAAACATAAAAAAAAAATTATAGACTGTCTGAGTAGCTGGTAGGAAATAGTGTGGAGAGGGTGAGTTGGACTACGAGGTGGTCCTGCCCTAGAACCTTCTTTCTCAAGAGAGATAGTTACTCTTCTGGGAGCTATATAGCCTCACTCAACTTGACACTAACCTCTCCCCCGCTGATGATAATTCAGGGCTCCATCTGGACATGCCTTCAAGACTAGTTGAACTTAGACTAAGGTTTCAACAGTTCTGCTCACTGATGCCAGTGTAAATGCTGTATTAGTAGCAAGACTGGAATTTCTGGGTCCCTATTGGGCAACCAGGTCAAGCATAGAACATTTTTAGATCATATCCAGTTTCAGTTCTTTTGAGGGGATTCAGTATTAATAATTATACAATAATATTAATGTCAGCATTTGGGGGGGACTATGTATTAGATGTCAATAACAATACTGGACATTTTTACATGAAGCACACTATATAATCTCCACAACAATTTTTTTAAATTTTTTTTATTTTTATATTCCCCATACAATTGCACTCCCCTTATTTTGACCCCTATACCTCCTTTCCCTGCCTCCTCCCCCCCACAGTGTGTCTCTGGTTCATAGTTGTTTGTTGATTTTGATTTTTTCTTTCTTTTAGTTATTCTTTTTCCTGGTCCCTTATTTAGGTTTCTATATTCCTGCTATGGGTGGGACCATCCGGTATTTTTCTTGTTCTTTGTGGCTTATTTCACTGAGCATGATCCCTTCCAGCTCCACCCATGTTGCTGCAAACTGCATGAGTTTATCTTTTTTGATTGCTGAGTAATATTCCATTGTGTATATGCACCACATCTTCGTGATCCAGTCATCTATTTTTGGGCATTTGGGTTGTTTCCAAAGCTTAGCTATTGTAAACAGTGCTGCTATAAACATAGGGGTGCAGGTGCTCTTTGGAATTAATGTTTCTGTGTCCTTTGGGTAAATACCTAGGAATGGAATTGCTGGATCATAGGGATAAAGCTCTATCTTTCGTAGGTTGAGGAATCTCTACACAGCTTCCCATAGTGGTTGGACCAGTTTGCACTCCCACCAACAATGCAGGAGAGTTCCTTTTTCTCCACATCCTTGCCAACATTTGTTGTTGCTAGTTTTTTTAATATGTGCCATTCTCACTGGTGTAAGATGGTATCTCATGGTAGTTTTGATTTGCATTTCCCTGATTACAAATGATGTTGAACATTTTTTCATATGCCTGTTGTCCATTTGCATTTCCTCTTTGGAGAAGTTTCTTATTAGCTCTTCTGCCCATTTTTGACTGGATTATTTTCTTTGTTTTTGTTGAGTCTCATCAGCTCTTTGTAGATTTTTGTGATCAGTCCTTTATCATTAGTGTTGTGTGCAAAAATTTTCTCCCAGTCGGTGGGGTTTCTCTTTGTTTTGGTTATTGTTTCTTTTGCTCCACAACAATTCTTTGAAGGGGACTTGCCATTTGACCCAGCAATTCCATTCCTAGGCATCTATCCAAAAATATTCAAAAACACTAATTTGAAAGGAAATTCACACTCCCATGTTTATTGCAGCACTATTTACTATAGTTGAACTATGGAAACAGCCTAAGTGTCCCAGTACAGATAAGTGGATCAAGAAGATATGGTACATATACACAATTGAATATTATTCAGCAATCAAAAAAGATAAATGTATGCCATTTGTGGCAACACGGATGGAACTGGAAGGGACAGTGCTGAGTGAAATAAGTCAGAAGGAGAAAGCTAAATATCAATGGCATCACTAATATGTGGAATATAAAGTAATTAAATTAAATGGTCAGATAAAGACATGCTGAAAAACTAACCCTTGGTAGCTGACAGAAGCACCAAGCAGAAGCACCTACAGAACAGAAGCACCAAGAGAGTACAGGAAGAGGGAAGGAAGAACAATGGTCTATTGTGGTGGACTACAAGTGAGTTGATGGTGGATGCCAGATGGTGGTCCTACCTGATGGAGGTACCCCAATATTACCTCAGTTAAAAATAATTTCTTAAAAATTTTATTAAAAATAAACAAAGCTTAGAGAGGTTAAGCAACCAGGTTTTGAAACAAATCTGTCTCTAGATTCTTGGATCTTCTTCTCTATTCTGTGATCCCTGACTTTTGAGAGTAAGTCTCGGTATACTAGATTTGAATCTCAGACACCAGTATAGATATTGTGGTACTTCTCTGTTGTAAATGAAGTTGGCTACCACCTGCGGCCTTGATCTGTAGAAGGCGCGTGGGAGTGGGGCACACGTGTCTGATTATGGACACCTGAGCATGGGTGTGAGTGCAGGTGCAAGTGTGCACACTTGTGCCTAGGAGGGAAGGGATAAAAGGATGGCGTCACCCTGGGGAAGAGGGCTCAAGTTGCTGTCTCCCTTCTGGCTTGTTTCCCCTGCTTACCATTAAAACCTGTGTAAATGATGTTAAGGGCCCCAAAATTATCTTTCAAATTGCTAGAACTGACCAACGGTGAACCTACCTGACATGGGATGGTAGCAAACACCGGTCTATGTTTCCTTAGGAGCTTACCAACAGCTTGCAGCTGTAGCACCTTGCGATGACTTTCTCTAATGGCT